TCTGCAGCTTGGCTGTGGTTCTCACTGACCTTTGCAGAAAAATAAAAAGGAAAAAAAAAACATCCTTTTTATGGAGGGGTTTTATGGACATCCAGCAAGAAGCTTAGTCCATCCCTCAGCAATTGTCACCTCATAAAGAAAAGAAAAAACCCTAATCAAGCCATTACACGGCCCATATTCTCCACCAATCAAGCCTTTACACAGATATACCAATACATAATGCCGGTCATCTGCCATTCTCACCTTCTCTGTGACTTAAAACTGCCCTGGATCCACAGACCAAACCCAATTACAGATAACAATGTGCTAATCTCTGTTCCCAGGGAGCGAGGAGCTGGGCCTGGAGAGGGTTAGAAACTGCCGCAAGGCTGACACACATGCCAGATACAGCCTGAACGACAGACCCTGTCTTTCCTCTCTCTCTCTCTCTCTCTCTGCCCTTTCTCACACACTCAACCTTCCTATTCCCCCTTACCCAACACATTTGCACGCCTGCATGCCCATGTGCAGCCACACGCACACGCCCCTGCCATCCTAACACCTTCACCACCCTGAATCTTTTACCCTTTTACAGCTAATCTTTAAATGTAAATTCTGTGACAGGAAAATAGAGGAGGTGCGAGATAACAGGTTACATCTTCACTCCTGCACTGTTATCGCGTTCTGCATCACTGAAAAGCACCTATTCAATAAGATTAGCTTCTGGCAGAGTGCACGGCGACACACCGCGGCTTTGTATTCATTAAACACACATCCCCGGCTTATCTGAAATAAAAAAGGGGCTTGTCAGGATGGCACATTGTGTGTGAGTCTGAGGGGAAGGCAATGTGCATTAGGGCGATTACAATATCAGCCTGGTCCAGATGGAGGCAGGAAAATAAACAGAGAGAGAGAGAGAGAGAGAGAGAGAGAGAGAGCAGAGGGGGAGAGCAAGAGAGAGAGAGAGAGACAGAGAGGGAGAGAGGGAGAGGAGGGGAAGACAGGGAGGTGTTTTTTTGAATGTGCGTGACTGTGTGAGAGAGATTGTGTATATTATGTATGGATGCGAGAGAGAAAAATGTGTGTGCGTGTGTGCATGCACATGTCGGGGTAAGGACGATGGAGAGAAAGAGACGTTAATTGGTAAATGAGTATGGGATTAACAAGAGAGTGAGGGAGTGAACGAGCGCGCGTATGAGAGGGAGAGAGAGAAAGCGAGCGAGCAAGGGCAGGCAGCCAGGACACCTGTCAGCTGGAGCAGTGGAGCAGTGTGTTGTTTGGTTAACCCTGGACCAACGCTGGCTCCTCACTAGCTCACATATAGTCTGTAGCCCACAGCAACTCTACCACAGCCTCTCTGCTCTGCAAACGTGTAGGAACAGCATTTCCTCACCGTTTTATCCAAACCATGCAACTGTATTTTTTCCAGTTTTCATTTTTTGACACTATTTAAAAACAACTGCTGCCCATACAAAAGATCCAAAATGACTTGGAATAAAACCTTGTTCTATTAGAGTGCACGTTACCATTTTGGAAATAAAAGATTAAGTTATGACAGCGATGTCTTGCTCTTGAAATCTAGATCTAAGAATCACTCTGTTTGCCTCAATGCGTGTATTCATTCATCCACATTTTCCATAAATACAATACAAATTATCCAACAATTGAACAATATATTGTTTCATTCACTCGGCCTGAGCTGCTCTTTAAAAATTAAGACAATGGGGAAAATGTATATCGTATTGTACTGAGTTTATTGTGCATTATTGTAATGCATTATCATTACATTACATTCCATCCTCACACTCCTTCACTCACTCATCTCACTTGATGTCGGCACGTGATAAAATTCTATAACCAGCGGTCTAAATTCCTCTTGCGAATAAATTTGTAACCCATCAATGCCTCGTATCGATCTGAAGCATAGGTTCTAGGAGATGGCATCCACATCAATAATTCATTGCCTGCCCTCCGCAGCAACTGATGTCGAAGCAAATCGACAGCCCTCACAAAAAGAGGGCTTTATCCCTGCACACAAAAACATCTCCCAGCCTTCACTTCCAGCCGTGGGTCGAGTGTGTCAGCAAGTCCGAATGTGGTCTTCAATGAATATAAAGAGCCTCATACATGACAAAGCTAAAAAAAGCTTTTTTTTTTTGCAGTGTACTGTTTCTAAGGTGAATTCCCTAAGAACACAGTCTACAGGGTGAACATGACTGTAATTTCAAACAGCAGACAGCATCATTCTTTTTGGATTGTTACAACAGCTTAATATCACCATTCATACTCTCGACCTACAGACCACGGTCAATACAAAGCATTTCTCATTGCCAGATTTGCTCTAAATGTAAACTTGGCAGAGAGCAGTTTGACTGCCTATTTTCCCAGTCAAAGTGGACAAAGACAAATAAGCAGACCGATTAAACAAGCTAAGTATTGGTGCAAGAGTATGATGGGAAAATGAGTTCGTTTATATAAGGGGTTAACGATTGGGTGACATTACTAATGAAGTGAGTCTCAGACTACACTGATAAGATACCTGGCTTTTGGCCAGAATGTCTGTAGTTCGTCACCTAAAAACACAGTAAGTATTCAACAGCAAATGTTTTGGTGCATGCATATAAGGTGAACGAAAACCACATTTTTCACTCCAGTACAACAACTAATACGATATATTGTCTCAAATAAACATAATGACTCGGTAAAATGCTTTTCTGGATGATGACAAAAAGAAATGTGCATCACTTTTAACATTGCTTCTATTTACAGTTAATGAGAAAATAACCAGCATGTTTTTTTTTTAATAAAAATAAAGGGTTCTTTGGAACCAGTATTGGTTCCCTAATGAACCTTTCAATTCAAGGTTCTTTAAAGTACCATTGCTGAAAATGAGACGTGTGGGCATGAAGAGCCTTTTTTAAGGTTTAAAGACCCTCCACATTAATACAAGGGTTCTGTATCGATCGACATTTTCCTAGAATGATACAAAGCCAAGAAACATTCAGGACCCTTCATTTTTAAGTATAACCATAAAATAAATACGTAGGTATAGTCACACTTTAGCACGCCTACAGCAACATGCACTGGTGTAGGCACTGGACCCAGCAGGCTGACCCTCTCTTCATTAGGCCATGGCCGTGTCTGGTTTCATGCGTTTGACCCACATGGGGCCAGTGGAAGCGGGGGAGAGGGGAACAGGTGTGAGGCAGGCCGGCTGGTGGCTGTGCAGATGGCCTCAGCCAGAGGACGATGCTGTCTGCTTCTGCTGCCCCAGCCCAGCCTGGCCTTGTGCTGTTTAAACAGCCTCATGGCCAGATAACACACACACAACACTTATTTACTGAATACTCACCTCCAGCCAACCTGCTTCATGTTTGACTTTAATTAAAACTGTCCCTCCAATCTCAAAGGAGAAAAGTGGACACTGACAGCACTGAGGTGGTGACCAGTTTGATATTGAGCTCATATTGTTCTTGTCAGCACTGATGTACATAGTGCATCACAATCTGTCAGAGCTATGAGGTACAAGACACAGGGTACGACCAAAGAAAAATAATTATTGACATGACAGTTTATCTACAACAAAATACAGGCACTTACGGACTTTGTGTCTAACATTAGTAACTGCCTAGAATACGACGCTGGCTTTTTCAGTGTAAAATGAGGGACTTTTACAGGACAACGTTAACATATCAAATGCAAGTCTAACAGATCCTTTTTGTCCATGACCCAAACCGTGAGAACGGTTATACAGTTTACAGACAAAACCCTCAGCAGCCTCACCAAATACCAAAGCTTCTTTTTTCATCTGAAAAGATACACTGATCGCCACAGAGACCAAGTTCCCAGGGAGAGAGGAAAAAAAATATGAAAAGCTTTTAATTTCAAGCAGCCCAAAGCCACGTCTCGCTTTAATTTCTCCATCTCCATCTCTCTCCTCAGTCATGTGAAGGGAAAGTGGAAATAAAGACCAGGGTGGATCGGAGACCACAGTTGGACGGCTGTGAGGGCAAAGAGCCGTTTGCAAATGCGGATGGTCTGAAGTGGAGGCGGCAAACTAACCAGCAGTATTTGTAAAGCTCCTTAGTGTCTCTTCTCCCGGTTTAGGACGCATGAGGTCATATTTCCAGCGTTCAGAGGGGAAGGCTGACATGTGCTGGCAATATAAAAGGCGTTTGGCTTCAGTTATTATGGATTATGGTTGTCGCAGTTGAAAGTGGACGGTAGTCCGTCTAGTTTAGTACAGTCCTGGTTATAGAAGGGATGGATACTGATCAGTAGACTGATTTGACTTAATGCACTTCCATTAACACAATGTATTGGAGATTTTATGGAAGAATATTCACATAAAACCCAAAGTGTGTATGTGGCCATGTGGCAGTGCATTAATGTGGTTTACTGGCATTCGACCTCACTGCAGAGGTAATTATGTACATTTTGGTCTTAGTTATGTACCTAACATACAGTTTAAATCTACAGAAACCTGAACACATTAATATGAGCTAAACAATGATGTCATTCAAATATTTTTGATCCAAAATAAGAGAGAAGGCAAAGGGGACATTTCTACAGAGTGTTAGCTAAGGTGCTTTTTAAAAAAAAAATGCTAAACAGAAAACACGATTTCAGCTAGTTTTTGCACATCTGAGGTCATTATATGTGTTATGTGTAGTTATTTTATTCAATGTTCACCTCACTATTAGTAAAAACGTGAATTACCTTCTACCTTTTAGTGAATTAAAGTTGTAACGAATGAAAACCGTTAACATGATAAACAGCAAAAGGCAAAAAAAGGCATTAGCGAAAGCTAACGTTAATTCAGACTGCTAGCGTTAACGTTAGCTCTTACGGTGAGTTAAATAAAGCTCATTCACTCCTTCACATCTCACACTTTAACCCCAACAAATAAGGTTAAAAATGAAATATTAAAGACGGTAAAGTGAGCAGCCGTTAGTGCTGCTCCGGCTGAGCACCACAGGATTAGCTCAGAGATGAAGCGAGAGGACACCGGCGCTACTTACACTGAAGAGAGGCTGAAATTCCCACCATGCGTTACGCCGTTAACGAGGGCAAAAATATTAATCCCCGGTCCAAACGGTCCGGTAATGTGTCGTTGGTTGTGTTAGGTGAAGTAAATGAGCGTCAGTCCCGCCGGCTGGAACCGACTTTAACGGTAACGGTTCCCTCAGACGCGTCAGAGCTGTCCGTTAAACTCCAGCGAGGCGAGGAGCTTCGAGCGCCGGTCCAAACGGCCCGTCTGGTCGCGCTGCTTCGCGTTTGTCTTCGTTTCGCTGCGCTGGATGAAGCAGACTGAGGCTCAGTCCGGTCAGTGTGAACCGTGTTTAACGCTAACGGTCGAGGTTTCCTCCGACACGTCACAGATGTCCGTTAAACTCCAGCGAGGCTCGAGGCGGCGAGATTCGAGCTCCAGTCCGCGCGTGACAGAGCGCTAAAGCCCCGGTGGCGGGTGTAGGGGTGAGGGTGAGTGGGTCGGGGGGCAGGTCGGTGTCTCGCGCGCGCTGGTCTAGTCCACTTTTTCCCTCTTCTGTCGTCCTTTAGCGGTGCGAACGAAAACAGCACGGAGCGGTTTCCTGTGCTGGACGCACGAGCGGTCAGATGCACAGCTCGCAGGATGCGCGCGAAGGGAGAGTAGCTCCGTCCGTGGCGCGCGGGCGCTTTTGCCTCCTGCTCAAGTCCGCGAGCTCCGGGAAGCTCCAGGTGCGGAGTGGGCGGGGCTTCGCCGAGAGAGGGGCGGAGATAACAGGGAGCAGCTGAGGGGGAGCAGAGAGAGAGTGAACTGAGGGAGAAAAAGAGGGGTAGAATGAACAGAGGAGAGAAAATAAATTACGCCATTTCTGTTTTGGGGAAGATGAACGTGTGTTTATGTGTGCTGCACGCGCTCACTTTTTCTCTGTCTCGATTTCTTTCTGTTTTTCTGTCTTTTTCTATTATCTCCCTTTCTCTCTTTTGCTTTCTCTATCTCTCTCTGGATCTCTCGCTCTTGATTTCCCTTTCCCTCTCTATCTCTCTCTGCTCAGTAGTGCTTTATTGGCAAGCTCTCTCTCTCTCTCTCTCTCTCTCTCCTTCCTTCCCTCCCTCCCTCTCCTCATCTCTCTTCTTGTTCTTTCTCTCTCCTTCTCCTCTCTCCTTCTCTTCTCTCTCTCCTCTCTCTTTTCTTCCTCTCGCTCTCTCTCTCTCTCTCTCTCTCTCTCTCTCTCTCTCCCTCTCCCTCTGTCTCCTGCAATAACTCAAGGCAAACACTTTCCTCTTCCATCTGGATCTCATCTCGTCCTGCCCAGCCAGGGAAAGCAGAAGCTTCGTTTACAGCCTGATGATAACAGCCTCTTTCACACAGACGCTATTGAAGTTAATGCATCACAGACTCTCTCGCCGTCTCTCTCTTAACCCTAACTTAACCCATAAATTGTATATTCCAATTTAGGACAAGCCACTTTCTTATTTCCATGGTGCTTTCTGGCTCGCCTCAGTGTTTGTCTTTATAGCCTATTTCCTATGCGACAGACTGCATCCCCAAATATGGTCTCTATAGACTTCTGCTTAGTGTTTTTTCCTTCATTTAAACTGCTAAGAGCTTTACATGCTGTATGAACTGAATAATACTGAGAACACATATATGTCCTAAACAGAGACACCAACTCAACCAGTGTTTCTTCTGAAATTAAGAGTATTAATAGACAGTTTATCCCCTCTTTGCTGCAGTAACAGCCTCTACTCTTCTGTGAAGGCTTTACACTAGATGTTTGAACATTGCTGTGAGGATTTGATTGCATTTAGTCATGAGAACATTAGTGAGATCAGATACTGATGTTGGATGATTAGTTCTGGATCACTCCAACTTATCACAGAGGGAGTGGATGGAGCTCCATCAGGCCACAGAACGTAGTTCCACTGCTCCACAGCCCTATGCCAGGGGGCTATATACCCCTCTAGCTGATAGTTGGCATTGGGCATGGCGACGTTAGGCTCTTGTTTGGTTGCTTCAGAGTCCCATTCTATTAGCATTGCTTTTCTATGGAGATTATACAAGCAATTGGAAGGCATGTGTCAGCAATGAGTGCACTTTAAAGGAGGGTAGATATTTTGCACGCATAGTGTGGCTTAACATACTTTTGTGGTAGTATTTGTCCAGAAATAAGAGAAACGTGCTAGCAAAATAGCAGGCCTGTCCACTATAATCATTTCTGCTTTAGTCAGGTCCCCTGTATCTCCTCTAATCTGCTTGTGACTTGGCGTATTGTGTCCTAGGAGACCTGCAGAGGGGCCATACCTGCGAAACCGACATGAGCTTTCTTCTGAGAGTTTTTTGATGTGCCACTCATATTCTTTGTTCTTCTCAGACAAAGCCATCTTGGTGAGTCTCCTCTTCTCTGAGCTGGTGTGCTGAGGACAGAAAGAGAGAGAGACAAGGAGGGAGAAAGAGGAAGAGAGAAGGTGAGGTCAAAACAGCTCAAAAACACACACACACACACAACATACACCCCTGCACTGCGTTATCACAAAGACTCACTCTGCTCCCTTTTGTGCCCAGTGTGCGTCCGAGAAAAGCTGCTCTCGACAATCAAACAGCAACATCTTGACACCGGAGGCGCAGGGACGGTGGTTGAGGAAACCTGCAGGGGAAAGGACGGGGTTTGAGAGGCTGCCGTGGACACTGATAACACCATTGGAGAGCAGGAAACACACACTGCGCTGTTTTTGCTGCTGGTGGAGTTCCTGGAAGTGGGCCGCCCAGGGCGATGGGCCACGCACACACAGGATACCTCGCCTCCACGGGGGGACAAACACACACACACTCGGCCATGCAGGCTTCCTGCACTTCCCCATCTACCGGAGGGCCACCTGCGACCAACATGCACACACAGGCTTGTTTTTATACAGTGTCAGGACGTGGAGTCATGCCTATATCTTACACGTGTTGTATATATGTAAGTACCTATATGCACTAACAATATGATCTATTTGTATTATATACATACATACATTCATACATACATACATCATCTAAACCGCTTATCTTTCTGGGTCGCGGTGGGGTGCTGGAGCCTATCCCAGCTGTCATTGGGCAGAAGGCAGGATACACCCTGTATTATATACTGTACATTTATTTAATTTCCAGTCAGAATGGCCATTAAGCACAAGTGTTTCAGCATCAGAGAAGAAATCTGAAAATATATGCTTAACATAAAATTATACAGAAGACTCAACAACTAAATATTTTATCATTTTTTGAGTATTTAATGTGTCTACTGTTCACCTTTATTACAGCTTCTATCCTTTTCAGGAGACTTGCTTTCAGTTTTTCAAAGAAATCTGCAGGGATATCTTTCCACACCTCCAAAGTTCAGTGGGTTACATCTTCTGCTTTACACAGTTCAGCAAATGGTGGGCTCTGGGGTGGTCAGTCCATTGTTCTGAGCACACTAGCAGTTTCTTTGTTTGATTTATATGGAGCCCCGCTGGTGACATCCTGTATAAATAAAAAAAAAATAATGCATGGCCACAACGTATTAAGGCGTGGAAACAAGATCCTGATGCATGAAAACGTAAGTCATGGTCACGCATTAGGATCTCATTCCCACGCCTTACTAAGGCATGATCTTGTTCCCACACCTTACTAAGTCGTGGCCACAACTTAATTATCTCATTCCCACACCTTACTAAGTCGTGGCCACAACTTAATTATCTCATTCCCACACCTTACTAAGTCGTGGTCCCGCATTAGGATCTCGTTTCCACTCGGTAATAAGGCATGGCCGTGGGTTATTTTTATTTATATGGGATGTCACCAGCAGGGCTCCATAGATTTGCAAGATTTATTTCCATTTCCTTTTTTAGTTACAGCTTTTTGCCGCTACACATCCTTTCAGACCCACAGCATTGAGTTGTCTTCTCACAGTGGAAGCAAAAGTGGAGCTTGATTTTCACGCTTCTTTCAAAGATTTAAAGATTTCAAAGCTTTAAGTACTGTTTATCTGATGGTTACAGTTTTGGTAGTCTACCAGGCCTTGCCAGGGGCCCTATTATATATTTTTATGTATTTAATCAACTCTAGTTTTGGAAACTCCTGTTTTTTTTTTACTTATTTTCCTTATGCAGGTAATTATCTTTCAATGAATTTGAATGATCTGCAAGTTAATTTTCTTATATCTAAACCTCAGAAATATGTCTTGGAAAATGGACTGCGGTTGTTTTAAAGGGTGTCCTTGGACTTTTAGTCTAACTATAGATAAAAAAATGAAATGTAATAAAATGCACTTCACAAAATCAGAACAGGTACAGTGCTGTAGGTCCTGTAGGTTAGCCCTGATTTTTCTCCATCTTCAGAGTCATTTTTGTCCTGAAAATGTACAAAACACACACATACACACACACACACACACACACACACACACACACACACACAGTCAGGGCCACTATCTCAGAACTCAGTAATAATAACAACAGAATGACGTTGGCCAAATGGGTGTGTTGACAAAACAAATCTTAATCTTGGTTAAAAGAGGTGCTGTGTGAGGCAGCACAATAAAACAAAGCCTCACCCTACAGTATACTGCTCCAGACAATCATCCCAACACTGGTGACATCCTCTGTATTACACAGACAAGCACAGATGCAGTCATCATAATTTGTCCTCTTGCAAAAACATACATTGATTAACATAGCTGTGTGTTAAATTACTATGTCTATGTATGTACAATATACCTTACACTGTTTTAATATGGATCAAAGAAACTGTTTAATTACTTACACTTGTCTATATTAAATGTACATCTGTCTGTATTTATCTTTATTTGCTTTTTTCAGCTCTTTCAGGTCCAGAACTGCAGAGTATGTGAGGAGGTCACCCCCTTACATATTCTGCAGTTCTGGGCCTGAAAGAGCTGATAAAAGCAAATAAAGATAAATACAGACAGATGTACTCAAGGTTTTTACATCCTTCACAGCTCCAGTGTGTGTGAATTCTTACTGAACTGAATGTATCCTTGATGTAAAAGTGAAAAGCCTCAGGTTTATGGTTGTGTTTCTACATATGCTAGAATTTCAATATACTTCCATACAAAGCTGCCCAATATTTTGAACTTTCAGGCTAGGTTGATCTTGCTCTCATGGGCTCACAATATACATACACATACAAAGTATATCCTGTGATTAACTTCCCAAAGCTCAATAAATAGCCAATGTATTTTGCTAAAATTCTCCTCTCGAGGTAAATTGAGTGGTCTTAAATTTAAGTAGTATTTATGTAAGTAATAAACTCACTAATCCCAGGCCTGATGTGTCTTGTCCCACCCGAACAGCTTGAAATGTGTCTCTGTGTTTGTTTTTACCAAAAGGAAGCTAACAGCTGAGCAAAAACTAATCTAGCAAGCATTACTGAGCTATGTAGCTAGTTGCGTGTCCATCTGTCTGTTTGTATGTTCTACCAGCCACACCAGCGTTTCCTGGACACACGTCCAGCAGTAAAGTTAATAAGAACTTTATCTTCTTTAACACAAGAAAGGCTAAAATGGTAATTTTGACTGTTTTGAAATTTTGAGCTGCAAAATAAAACCCCTATGTGTACTGTTCCCTTACCTCAGTACTTCAGTAGTGCAAATTTTAGTCCGACATTGTTATTAGATCAATATTACAAAGAACAAAAAAGTGTGT